GGGAGACTACTGCAGCAGCGGTTATTTGTATCTGTAGTGTTTTAGATAGGTGAGTCTTGGTTTTGTTTGAGAATTAATAGCAAGTGTCAGTGCTCATAGTCCGTAAAAAACCAAAGCGTGTGCATGGCTTCAGCAGTATAGGGTCGAGAGGGATGGAGAGAGTTCAGGATTAGATCCTCCACCCCTTGCCACCCCCCTTCAGTGAAGAACTGGGAAAGATGTCCTGCCCATGCAATTGCTTTAAAATTACTTCTGATTTAGTGGCATAAGATTGTTGACTTCAACCTTTAAATATAAAAAAAGGAGTTTTCTTTTGAATTCTAGGAGGAGGGAATTTGCTATAAAAGTTTGATCTCTCCTTGACAGTTTTCATGGGTGGAAATCTAGAAGAACTGTTGTGTCCAGCAATGTGGGGCTGATTGTTCCCTCTCAGTGCAGGAGATAATTCTTCCCATATGTTTCAAACTACAAGAGAGATTTGTGGTCTGATGACTTTCTTTAATAGCTATTGCTAACAGACATTGATTACACATGGCTGATTATAAAAGTTCTGGAAAACTATAGCTGGTTGTAAACTGTTCTCCGTTTTTCGTGAAAATCACAGTGATTTATACAAATAAAGGCCCCAGCATTTATTCCTTTCAAATATACAACTCAGTTGTAAAGTGTGCAAAGCAAGGCGAGAGATGAGTTTAGCACGCTTCCTACCAACGCCCAGAGATGCTGACGGGGCAGAGGGCCTTGGTGCTGCCGTCAGGGCTGCGTGACACACGGCAGAGTCGCCTGCCTGGAGCACACGTATCTGGGGTTAGGCTTTTGAATGCTGCCGCTTCAACAAAGGTATTTGGTTTTATGGGGGTGCAAAACTCTACCCAGTGTGAGTTCCTGCAGAGGAGGCCAGCTCAGACAGATTGGGTTAGACAATAGTGACGATCTAGTTTGTGAAGGCATGGCTGTTTTCTGCTGTCAGTCCCTAGTAACAACCTTCTGTGTTCTTCCACTTAAACACCCCAACTGTGTATAGACTGGCTCTGACTCTGACCCCGGTGCGGAGGAGCACAGCTCTGCGGTACATCAGGGGCTCATCTCATTTGCTGCACAGCGCCCACCCTGTGAAAGGATCAGTAGCTTCGTTACTGCCGTAATCACCTTCCCGGCGTCCCTCCTTTGGTAACGCAGAATTGTCACTCTCTCCACAGATGAGCTGGTTTTCACCAGGGGTTGGGCTAAAGGGGAGGTGGGGGGAAGGTGTTAAAATTTAGTCTTTAATATTAACTTCTAATATAAAGATTCATTTTGAAATAGGTGGCTAATATATCTTCTAGCCGAACACAGTCAGTGCTCATTTACATGTCATTTTAACTGCTGCTCTGCTAATATGGTTCCCAGTTTTTAATAAAGCTGAAAAATTGTAGTTTTAATCCTCCATGTTTTAATTTCTTATGTAGGTTGACAATTTAATCTCTTGAGATTGATGTTTCTCTCAAGAGGCTTCCTTCAGTCATATCTGTCTTGCTTTCTTGGAAGTTGTGGTATGGTCCTCATTGATTGCAGGGGAGGGGGGAGAAATATAATTATACCCAGGTGCATTTGGTTATGTCACTTTTTTTTTTCCCAGAACAGATCTTGATTCAGTAGTGAATTTAGCTTTAAATGTTATTAAATATAGTACACGCTAAAGCTTAAATGAAACAGTATGTAGAAATAAGGCACAACTGGCATTTGTGAGAAGTAGTGGTACGCAGCTTTTGAAAACAAGACAACCCATTGTTTTCCATAATTTGGCTTCAGATATTGTTTTAGAGGATTTCATTTTTATTTCTCATATTTAACATTCAGAATAACTATTTCCTCTGTGTAGATGTTTGGTTTAGCTGGTGGTGGTTTTAAAAATCTAGTTGATGTTTCCTTAAGCTCCTTTTCTTGTTGTTACTCACCAGTCATAAGAAAATAGGCAACATCAAAGCTTTCTGTTCACTATCCACTTAAAACTGCAAAAGTGTAGATGTACAACAGGCTTATGCTAATTTCATGTTCTTCTTTAAAGCATGAAAGCTCGATTATTTTCTTTCAAAGGTGTTTTTAAAACAAAGACATCGTCTGTTCTGACCTTCTAATGATTTTTTGCATTGAATATCCAGCTGGGAAGCAGCTCAGCACGTGGCAAACGAAATCGTACAACGGAAAGACCTTTTGGGTTTGAGGCTTTATCACTTCATGTGACTTAAAGGTCAGGAGAACAGGTTGGGGATGCGTGATGGCGTGTAGTCATGGTAGTTAACCCTCCTGCCTCTCCCCAGTCCTCTCCTGTATGTGAGAACAGGTACAATAAAAACTGCAGCTGCGTGGGTGCTACTGATAACGCTTCCTTTTTGTTGGAAAGGAAGGAAAAACTCCCTGCATAGAGTTGGGGGGGGGGGGCGTGTTTAGATATTTGAAATAGTAAATGCCTTGTAATTTCTAAGGACAGTCATGTTTCAAACCTTTGCACTAACAGAAAGCTTGATGAGATAATGACTTGATACAATAACCTTCTGGAGTCAAAAATCGTGGCTTTAATTGTAGCTTGGCTCACGTGCAATCAAACGACTTGACTGTCTTCTGGGCTCTGCAGCGTTCACTGTGGTACCAGTCAGCTGTCAGGTTTGGCACAACTGACTGTGCGATCAAGAGGCATTTCAGTAATACCAAAAATGTTTAGAGAAGAGGATTAAGGGACATTAGGAAGACCGTGTGGGAAGTCCCTGCTCTGCTCCACTGCAATGGTTTTGTTTTCTTTTCATCATCTCTTTTTTTTTTTTTTTTTTTTTTTTTCCTTCCCAAAAGAGGGGGGCGGGGAAAGGGGCACTTTGCCCAAATCTCTTGGCAGGGTGATAACTGAGAATGGAACAAGGGTGATGGAGACAGGTCACTCCAGTGTCAGGTCATGTTTTGCTGAAGCGATTGCGTTACATTCCTGGAGGAATTGGTAACGCTTTCTGGACATTCCCCTGGTTAGCAGTAGAGGACTTTTGAAGGAATCAGGTTTGAGGCGTGGGTAGAAAAGAAAGCAGGAAGGTAACATGTGATATAACCAGACTTGTGCTTTTCACCTCAAATGCCACGAGTGCGTTTGAACACTGGAGGGAAACCCCCATGGCCCTCAGGCCTCCTGGCAATCTTTAGTCCCTGCCTGGCTGCCACCCCCGAGTGAAGAAAACGCATCTCTGACAACCTGGAGCAGCAGGGCACAGGGTTACAGCGATGCTGGGAGCTATTCCTTCCTGTAGCCATGCCTTCATTTCGGGGCTGGTGCCGCCTTCCATAAGAGGGGAGGACGGTAATGCCCACAATATTTATTTTTGGGTTTTTGGACTTCTAGGGTCATTTCAGTCTGTGTTCCTCTCTAGCGCTGATGGTAAATGGGGTAAGATTGGGCCCTTGGTCTGCTTCCACTCACTGAGGCGTATGGGTTGGTTTTGCCTGGTAAGGTCCATGTAGCTATGAGGAGAAGAGGGCAGGTGCTAGGCTTCTGGCACGCTTAAGGTTCCTGGGTTTGTTTTTTAAAAAAGAGAAACCCCTCGGACACTGTGCTCCACAGTATGAGAGAGACTGGGATGACCTCGAGAGCAGGATGCACAGAGGTTTGAGCAGACAGATTCCCGCTCACGTGGTGGCCCTAAACTCAAAATCCTCTGGTGTGCTAACCTACATTGTGGTTGTGGTTCATGCAGGTTTTATATGGATGTTTCTGGGGTTTTGTTTAATCTCCGTATGAATTCAAAAATAAAATTCTATTTTTGTCTCTCCATTTTTTTCTTCCCAAGCAAATATGATTAGGAATATAGGTCTAATCCTGGCATTTGAAGTCAAGGAGAGCAGAATTCAGGACTTTATAGTATAAGCACAGCTGATGAATCTGCATGTGAATGCAGTTTTGTTCCGTGGTGGTTTTTTTCCAGTCTGCTTTATATGACTTAATGATGATAAATGTCCCTTAAAGTCAGGGGCTTTTCCATTTTGATGTTAAAAGGAACTTCTCTGCTGTATTTTTTGCTTTTATGAAAAAGTTGTATTTTACAGATGTGGCCATTGTAAATGCCAGCTGGTACCTATGAATATTTATTTTTCTACCCATGCTCATAATTGGTCTTCTATGTGCAGTAAATATGCATCGACATGTAAAGATGTTAATTTTTGTAATTGTTCAAGATGCACTATGCAAGTTAAGTAGCTTCTGAGCTCAGTGAAAACGACTGTAGACAAGCAGCTTGCAGGCATTCATACGTCTTCCCCTGCAGGGTTACCAGTATGCTCAGCTCCTTTGTTTAATTGTTTTAAAATTAATTTCGATAGCGAAAGCAGTTATATAATGACCACTTGCTATAGGGAAAACAGTAATAAAAAACTATTTATAGAATTTTTACATCCAGAATTGGAGTAAATTAAAGTAGAGTTATGAAAGATGCTTATTTTTAACAATGCTTTTCAGTCACCACTGGAAATTTGTTATTTGGGCTCCATGTGTAAAGTAACAAACTACAAAGTTCAGGTGTTCATCAAACAGCACTAGCAGCTGTTTTACTGATGGTCATTTCCCAGCACTCCTGCTGCTCGCCCAGGCTCCCTTTCCAGCCTAAAGCTTAAGAACTGTTGTAGTCTCTGTGTAAGTACAGACAACAGTAATTTGACTGCATTGTGTCTACTCACTACAGAAGGACATCTTACTAATCTTTAGGCATGAGTACTTTTATGTCAGACTCCATACTTTCATTATCTAAGGATGCTGTTAATTATACTACATCTTGAAAGGTGTGAACATCAGTCCTGAGTGTGGGATTGTAAGAGCCCCAGTGAAAAGTAATTGTGATTTTCTGCAGGTTTGGTTGAAGTTCTTATTTAAAAGAGTGTGTACACAAGCAACTGCAAAGCTGTCACTCTGCTAACGTCGGCCAGACACAAGGGATTCATTTTTTATAGATGGAAACAGGATTGCTAAAGATTGATGTATTTCGTTGCAGATGTGACGAATATGTCACACAGCTGGATGAAATGCAGCGGCAGCTCGCAGCAGCTGAGGATGAGAAGAAGACTCTGAACTCCTTGCTTCGGATGGCTATCCAGCAGAAACTGGCACTGACCCAGCGCCTGGAACATCTGGAGCTAGACCATGAGCAGTCCAAAAGGGTGCGCACAAAATCTGCTTCCAAAGCCAAGAGCAGTAACCCTAGTGTAAGTCATATTCGGTCCTGCGGAGACAGGTCTGAAGGATCTGTCCTGAACAACCAGGTTTTTTGTAGTGAGAAATACAAAATCTATTGTGACTAGGACAGACGTGTAGAAAAATCATATTATGCATCTTATCTTATGCTGTAACTGTCAGCGTAAATCCCCACTATCTAATGTCGCGGTGAGTTGACTTGTACTAGTATGTTGTTGAACCAGGTAATACAAATTGTATTATGGTGGTCTTAACTGTAACTAATTCATAAGGACGGGGATGCTATTAACAAGTTAATAGTGGAAAGGAATTAGCTTTTTCCACAATTAACACGTATGGGTTTTGCTGTTTATGGTAAGTGTTAAAAGAGTACACCTGATATAGTATATCTGGTGCTACTAATAGTAGTTTGTATAGCACAAATGTGATCCTTTCTCCAGGGTTGCAGCATACTTCAATAAATGCTTTCACAGGCAGAAACAAACAGTAAACCTTCTTATTGTGGCTTAAGAAGTGGTGAAAAGCAAATGTTAAAATTAGAGGTATGTCTTGAAAGTGCAGAGCATTTTGAAACTGGAACCAAAATTAATTTGCCTATTGGGGCAGATAGTAAGAACTTGCTGTCACGTCACCACTGACCAAAGTCCTTAAAGCTTTTATAGGTTATAAAAGCTAGGAAAAAAAAACTCGGTAGGGTACACTATTTACTCTCTGCTTCCCTCTCTTCAGAGGGTTAACCAGAAGAAAATTGCACATTTTTATTAGAAATATGCAATATTTACCCCATCTGATATAAAACTTAAAAAAATCTTAAGAATTTGGATCCTACCTGGTAGACAGTTCCACTTTAAGAAGTTACGCTGTGGAAAAGTGTCATGTCCTGAAAGGATCTTTGTGGTCTCATGTTGCTCCTTGCAAGCGTAACACTTTGGAAAGAATCTGTTTTATATATTACTGTAGCCACACAACGTATATGTGTAGAATTAACGTGACTATGGTCTAGTATTGTCAGTCACAAACCAGTTTTTCTCAGCTTTCAGTATTAACCTAAATAGGATAGTATTTCAGAGCTCTGATCACTTTTTTTAAATACACAAAAGATGTTGCATTCCTTATGCAAGCACATGTTTCACAGGGCTCTACATTCTAGGCACAGGAAATTGAATCAGATCATCCTACTAATAATTATTTATGAAGTAGCTTAGTATACATATTAATCCTTAAAAACAAATAAACTGTTGTCTGCTACTGAACTTTTAAGGGGCCTTTTTAGCCACTTAATTACAATATGTTTGATAATATGAAAGTGTACTTCATAATTGGTGCCTAAAAAGAGACAAAGATTGAAAATGTTGCTTCTAAAATTGTGGAAAATTTGTGGAGCACAGAGAGGCACACTTTTTTTCTTTGAACCAGAGTTTTAAAGTGCCTAGCCTCAAACTTTATTTTAATGTAAAGCCCTGTTCATTTTGTACTCTTTCAAATAATTTTGTATGCCTATAGTATTACTAAAAGCAATGCGAGACTGCACAGTTGTCGGCTTGATAGTGATGTTTTATAAAGCCATTCTGATATTCCTGGTGTGGTACTGCCTCATCTCACTACCATTTCTTATAGATGATCAGCAGCTTGCTTCCTGTGCATTGCCGCTCTGCCTATAAGTAGTCAGGAGATATCACAGTACTAATATAAGGTAATGAGGAGCACAGTGAGGGGAAACCACGTGGGATTTTGGCTTCCCAGATATTAGAGGGAGGGGAAGAAAAGACTTCTAAATTCATACAATGAGACTAAACACATGGAATTGTAGAAACCTTGCTGCAGAGCTGGAGAAGGTCAGAATACCGCAGTCCAGTGGCAGAATTGCATTTACCGATTGAGAGGAGGAAAAAACTCCGAGTGATTTAATCTAATCTGTTGCTCAAACATCACTGCTCAAGAAGTTTAAGCAAGTAGTAATTCTGGCTTTAGAAACTAGGCCCTGTGCATCTGTTATTACTTTTTTTAGAAAACACTGAATTCTCCTGAATTTGAGCTTTAATATTGCTAACTAGCAGGTTTGATATTTTAGAAGCGAGACATCTTTTAACAATTTTCAATCCTGCTTTCTCTTCTTTGCTGCACAATCTTCCAGAAGGCCTTTATTCTTCTCATTCCTGCGTTAAGTGTAATTTAAAAATACTTTGTAAAAGCAGGCATTTGAGTGCTAACTTTCTTTGCTCCAATAGAAACAGTTACAATTTTGCTTCCACTATGGTAGGGAGCTTTAATAACAGTTTTCACTGCTTCCGTGTCTGTAATGGCAGTATTTTTGCAAAATACTAATAGCAAAAAGGTAAATTGGAGAAAATAATTGAATGCATTGTTAGGTTTTTTTTTCAAATTAACTGGAACTTTCTATAAAGATTTCAATGTTACCAGACGGTGACTATTACTATCAGTCTTGGCTCACACTTTCAGTTCCACGTATGAACCATTTTGCAATTAGCCCAATAGTCTTGGTAGTCATTTCCATCTTCATTCATTTCTGTGGATCTTTAAAAAGCAAAAAAGCCAAGAAACCTGACTGCTACGTGAGCTTGTCAAGGTTATGGTTTAACTTCTTTTAGCACCTGTTATAAAAAGAAATGAGGAATGGTGGTAAGGTGACTTGATCCTGCTGTTTGCATTTTTAGATAATATTTCAGATTGAGTCTTGTAATTCTGGATTAACAATTTCTTGAAATGTACACGTGCTGGGCGTTTTTCACATCACTTTAAATGGGTTGGGATAAAGCATGGAAAATTCCCTAAGCCGTCACCTACCTCTGCGCAAGCAGGCTCTTGTGAACGATACTCTCTGCATTGGCCTGCATGATATACTGACCTGCATGTTTCTGGGGAACCTACAGCTTCACTGAAAACGTTTCTTGCACATTCATTGCTGTTAACTTGTGCTTGAACAGCAAAGCTTTATTCAGTACTTGTAAGAAACCTTCTTTCTGCAAAGCTATTGCTTCCAGGTTAAACCCATAAAGCGTTTCATCGGCATGGGAAGCGTCTCTGAGCTATAATGGATGGCTGCTTCTACCCCAGTGACCTAACAGACACCCTCGAGCAACTAACCTGCTTTTGCAGCATATTGTTTTAAGTTTTCAGTTCTTTAATTGAGAAATAAACACTGGTTTTTTGGTTTGTTTTTTTTTTCTAATGCTATTTTATTTTCCATTTTTCAGCTGTAGAGTAGTCCCTGGAGAAGGCCTTTCCAACAGTGCATCAGCATTTCTTAGCCTCTTTCATTGTGGTTAGAAGTGGTAGCCCATTGCACAAAGAATGGAAACCACTGACCCGATCCTAATTTTTGAAAACACCTTTTCCTATATACTACCTGAAACTTTCCTTTATGTCTGAAGCTATAAAACAAACAAGCTTTACCTATAAGTGCTGCTGCAGTAAGAAAACTTACAAGTGCTGAAGAAACCTACTTCAAATGTAATGATCACCGTATTAGTTTATGATCGACTAGAAATGTTCAGATGGGGGAATTTCTTATTTCATTGCAGATGCTCATTTTTTATCTGATTGTTAAACTTGTGCACTTTTGATATTTTCATATTTTTCTTTAGCTTCTTTAATTCCTTATGTAGAAGAGTTTATATAAATGCAGTGGTTTGTGCTCATAGTCTCTCTCCAGTTCGGGCTTGTGATTTTTGAATTCTACATCAGCATGTGGCAGAGATTTTTTTTGGGGGGGGGAGCTCTAGATTGTGATTAGAAAAGAGTTTCAACAAAAAACAGGAGCTCTGCTAAACTGTGTGCTGTGCTTCAGCAGCTTTTTTATTATAAAATGTTAAGCTTTATATGTTTAAATTACTGATTTTCTTTTTTTTTTTTTTTTTTTAAACTGCCATGTTCATTAAGAAATCCAGGGTATTCAAATTCTGGGGTTTTTTTCATATTGTATTATTATTCTTAGGAATAGTTCAATGTAACAAGAAGAAAACTTGACTTTGCTCTGGTTAAAACAGTAATAGGCACTTGAAAAATATTAAATAAGTAGTATTACCTATGAATTCCAGAATTCCTGGGTTTTAGGAAGTTGAAGTATTATTGATTAACAGAATTTTATACAACTATACCAGTTAAATTCCAAATTGGAATTGTTTTGTTACTTTTTCATTTTATTGTGCCAAATTATGGTACATTTAGAAAGAAAAATTCTAAAGTTGTCAATGATAGGGTGTTATATATCAGCGCCTTTCTGTCATTAATTATTGCCAGTAGTGCCTTTAATAATTTTAAGGGAGACTCTTAGGATAGTTTAGTCTAAGTCCTGTAACTTAGGAGAAGTGGAATGGCTGTTTGGAATTTAGTAAAGACATGGAGCAATAAGTGCAAAGTGAACTCCCCTTTCGCACATTTTTAATGGGTAGTCTTACTATAGAGATTATATATTCAAGGAATTGTAAAAAATTCTGTTAGTCAATGATATTTCATCGTGCAAATCCTTGCAAATTCAGGGGTACAGAGAAAAAAAAAAACAACAAACCTAAACAAACCTGAATACACTTTGGGAACCAAATGGACTCATGTTGAACAAATGAGCAAGACGTATTAACACATTTGTGGTAACAGTACAGAGGACATATCAGGAATATTGACGTTACGTTAGCTTTGTATGGTGGTGGATGCAGTTAACCTTAGTATTGTTTGCAAATGTGAACAACAAAACATTGATATCTTCTCATGCATGTTGTATCTAATCAGTGTAATTTCAGGAAACAGAAACGGCGAAGCGCATCAACAAGCTGTACCGATCTCTCCACTGTTTGTTGAGGCTCACACGGATGATTAAATTGGTACTTGCTGGGGGGGAGCCTTCCCACTCCTCAAAAAAAGTACAAATTGAAATAATATTGACGGCGGGGAAAAGATTTCTGTTTGCTGGAAAAAAGCATTATTATTCCTAGATGTGGGGACTTATATTTCCATCTTCTGTTACAGTATTGATTCATAAGAAATATTGTTGCATTTAAAATTACTACATTTGTATGTGGGTATTTATTTGAAATGATGTCGAAGTACTGTATTATGTTTTATGTGCATTACCTTTTAGTGGTGGATTGGTCTCCATTTAACGTCATATGCATGTGTTCTTGCCAAGTAACCTTTACACAGATCGGGGGGCGGGGGGGAACGTTAAAGAGAAAATGCGGAAACTTCTTTAAAAGTATAACTGTTTGTTAATTGGGTAACCTTAGGAGGCATAGAGGGCAAAGCATTACTTCCAAATTAATAAAGAAGTGTTTAATGTAGGAAAGCAATCTGCCTGCGTAAAGGTAGTCACATTGGCAGTATCAATAAAAGATAAAAGGAATCGTGTTTTCTGCTTGATGTTTTTGTGTTTTAAGAAGGC